GTTAGTCCTCAAAGTCTTTTTAATGTCTACAATAGTCCATCTAATATGCACATGATAATCAGCTATGCTATTTCCAGTAACCCCTTATAAATACAGTAAAATAAATACCTCTGGGTATATTACTTTTGCTACATTTGAGTATACTTTTATATTCTTTAATATACCACCAAATTGCTTTTTAAAATTATTTGTAGCAATTAACAATGCCATGGTAAGTACCAATTTCACCATAAATTTGCCAGCATTAACATTTAAAATTTTTTCTAATAGATACAAAGAAACCACACTCCAAATTGAATTTATCATTAAAGTTGTGCATTATTTTTGTTGTGTTTACTAATTTCCTTTTTTGTAAATTTCAGTTTATATGCTTTATCTAGTTATCAACTGAGATCTTAAATTTGCTAATTTATGAGTTTTTATAAGAATATTAACTCTATGTCCATCATATTTGCAATAAAATTTTCCAAGTCTCTTTTTTCCTTTTAATTATGATTAAGTTTGTTTTTGATAAAATAACCTTCTGTTGAAGGTAATCATAATTAAAAGTTACAAGAGGTCTTGAAATTGTATAATTTTCTAAATACAGAATTCAGTCTATTGCTTTGAGCACATCAGTGTACGTCTTTCAACATAAGACTTTTAAAGCAATATAAAACTATATCAAAATATGCATGTTTATCTAATAGAATTACTGAATTTGAGAAGTCTTGACTGTCTCAAAATTAACTCAAAGGGCTACATACCTGTCGCTGTAAACACAGGCGATTTCTGTCATGTAAATGCTGATGATTAGAAAATGATGAATGCCAATTCCGAGCCTGACTTTGCAACTGAGTCTGAGTCATATCAGAAGGCCTTGTTACAAGATGTGAAGTAAATTGCCGATCAAGGTCATGATCTAAAACGTGACTTGAATTATCTTGTCCAAATGTTGACTCATCAAATTGGGGAAGAAGACCCTCTTGAAGGAGGTCCTCTGGGTCAAGTCCTGTGAATGGCTCAGTGTGAGATTCCACTTGATGAAGTAAATTCTCTTCTAAAGATGAAAAGCCATTAGTTTCTACATGATCATTGAAATGGCCCATTTGAGTTCCTGAGTCAACAGGATCTGGGAAGTTCATGTGCACAGGAGATAATTTTGAATTGCTATAATTACCCTGAGGATGTGACGAATGCAACATTTGGAAATTATTTGAATTCAATGATGTACTGGGGTTTAGGACATGCTGAGTGGATTCTTGCTTGATTCCTCTATGAGGTGAAAAGGAATTACTTCCAGTAAAATCAGATAAAGTCTGATTTGTATGATTAGGTGCAAGAACTGCAGAGGACTGAAGGAGACTGTTTGGTGATATATGATTACTGGAAAAGGAATAATGTGAAGAAAACTGCTGTGAATTACTGACAGAACAAGAAGTCATATTTGGGGAAGGTCCATTAAAACTTCCTTCTTGATGACTGCTACACTTGAGGAAGTGTACTGAAGGATTTGACGTTTGAGAAAATTGCTGCATTGAAAGAGACTGCTGTGAATTAGATGCATTAGTAATTTGTGGTGGGTGGTTAACATTGACTCTGTGTGGACCAGAAACATTAACATTCATAAAGTTTTTAGACTGGCTAAGAGAATTTTGCCCTGGGTTGAGATTATTTCTGTTTTGCTGTGATCGTAGTGAAGTGCACTGTGTTTGCTGTTCATTGGCCTGAAATAAGGCAAAGTCATGGTGTGCCACGAAGCTTTTATTCTGATGCATAGAATGTGAATGTCCTTGTTGGTGAAAAGGAGATCCATTTTGATTTGAAATGCTAGTAGCTGTCTGGTGGCCCCACATTGGACTGCCATCTGCTACATCTGGAAACAAACCATTGGGTTGATTTTGGGGGTGGATCGGAGAACAATTATACTGAGAGTGAGGAGATAACACATGTTCAGCTGGACTACCAAAAGACTGATTAACTTGATGAAATTTCATTGAATCAAACTGATTTAACTGTTCAAAATCAGTCATCTTCTGATGTGTTGGAGTACCCTGAACATGGTTCAGTGAATCTATATGCAAAGGTTCAAATTCTGCACCCAAGTTCAATTCATCAACTAGTGAAACAGGTCCTGGTTGTACAAATGCTTCATCTGACAAACTTTCTAAGGTCTCACCAAAGAGATTGGCATCATCGAAAAAGTCCATCATTGGATCTGTCATCTTGAAAATTCAGTAACAATCTGGGCTGTTCACTCCAAATAGAGTATATTCCGCTTCTCTGTAGTAGATATTATTGGATCATTTCCAAAGGTCAACTATTCCAAAACAGATCAATATTCATTATTGCTCTAGATAATGACATGTCATGAAGTGTCAGAATCCTAGAAAAATAAGAACAAAACAATTTAAATTTAATGAGTATTCATTAAACTTTTATAAACAAAGTTTATATGTGATTTTTAAAAGTAACATAGTGTACAGTATT